TTGATCTGTACCGACAGAAAGTTCAAGGTACCAAGCGAATTGCTGTCGACACCCAGGAATTGCTGTGCTAGCGACTCTTACAGGAGGTGCGACAAAAAAGGGCCTGCCTGAAGTGTTTTCTTCTTTTTCTGAGACCTTTCTTCAAGGACTTCATTGCTTTATGTTTTCGTTTTTGTTTCTTTCTAAACCACTGCAGTTTGACATGCTCCGTTCCTGAGCATTTGGCTCAAAAGAAGACAGAACTGCAATTGCTCTCGGTGGAGTTTCAGCCTCAGACATGCAATTTATCAAAGTCAGTGTGTCTTCGAGTAGAGATTGGGCTGTGACCGTGGCCGCGACTTGAGACGATCTGTCACTCGGATGGTTTCGGCTGAGGACGCCACGAAAATGAAGACGAGGGAGCATCCGCCGTTTGCTCCACCCCCTCGTGACCATCTCAGAGTCTGAGTGGATGGTGAGTCGATCGGGCGAGAAAACGGGTCCCATGCGATCGGACTGCTTGGACAGCTACTGGTCATTGAGCATATCATTTCTGGCTCCATGCAATTTGACAGGACTCTTTGATGTTGGTGCTTGCACATGCGCACATGCACAGGTCCGGACAATGATGGAAAGACTCTTGCTGGGGAGGTGGACGAGCTTGGGTCTCGGAGCGTTGTAGTAGCAGTCAGCCCGGGAAAAAACAGAGTCAGTGGTGTTCACAATGTTGTGCGTAATTGTCACTGTACAGTTATCAGTCAACCATCACCAAGACTTTCTCCCAGGTTTGCCTGCTGGGAGGCTTCTGCCAAGACACCGATGGAGTTGCGGTTGAAGTCAGGCTGCCGTTTCATGCGAGATCTGGCTTTTCACCCTGGTGTTAGCGTTTGGTAGATCAAACAATTCGGTGGACAATCCCATTGCCAAAGCAGAATCTGGGCCCTCAAATGGGAAGGGTTTTAAGGGTCCGGACCCCTGCCATGGAGGGGACAGGGATTCTTAGGGCAGTGAGAATATGCAGTTGGCGAAACAACGAAGTAGCTCGATCAGGGATCTGTGGGTCCGGGACATGGCTGTCTGCCAAAAGGAAGTGATTCACAGCGGATTTTGGCACTATTCCTTTTCGGTAAGCCCCAAAGCTCGTGTTGGCGACCGGAGCTACTGTACATTCATTCTCATTCATTTAGATCATCATGGTTACGTTACGTGGATGGACATATTTATTTGTGGACGAAAATGGTCATCCCAGGGGCCATGCCATTCACATTACCATGATGATTTCAGGGAGTGTACATTCCTTGAGGAATGGCTTTCACCATTTCATGGGGTAAGCAGTGCAGTGACCAACTGGACCATCCGAAGACTCGTTGGTGGTGGTGGTTTTCAGAACGTGCTTGGACCGACCCCAAGGAGTGTGGCAGGTCGCCTCTTTCGACCTTTGATCTGGTCCAGCGCTCCACCGCAGCCGGGTTCCATCGGCCGTGTCGAGGCGAATGCTGGCGGGGCTGGAACTTCGGGGCCAAACGGCCGCTGGGACGAGAGAACGGACGGCGGTGATGGGCTGGGGGGACCGAGAGGGCACGTTGGAGAGGATCCCCGTGAAAGAGATGTTTTGGCAGCTTGGGAAGCGGAAAAAGGTTGGGTGATCGTTGACCTGGTGAACCCGCATTTTTTGGAACAATTGAGGAATCTCGAGGATGTAAGCTTTGAACCCGGAACCACGCTTTATCACGTAGTATTGAAACTTCAATCATCTAGAAGCCAGGCGCTGGGTGGCTTGTAAACGCGCGACCCCACGAGTTCGTTGCAACTGACAAGGTCTGTGGCAGGTGAAGTGGTCTTTTGCACTGCCATGATGGGCTACCCTGAATCGCTGACGGATCCATCCTTTGCAGGCCGACATGGTGCATGCCCGACATGCGGACGTGTGATGCGATGCTATTCGTTGTGCTTGTTTTATAGCATAGAGTTGTTGTTCAACGTGTTCAACATTCAATTACATAGAGAGATCCAATTGAACAGAGATCAATTGGAAGGGTCTTCTCTTGGAAAAGACCAATTTGTTGCTTCTTCCGAACCGCCTCCGCCTCTCTCGCGAGGCCAAATCCTCGTCTTGACGTATCCACTGGTGGGCAACTACGGCGTTCCTCCAGACGAGACGGATGAACTGGGGATCCCCAGGCGCGCGGACGTTCGCTGGAACGAAACGGACGAAACGGACGAAACAGACCGACCACCTTGCGGGAGTGGGACGGACACCTGGCGGGGGGGGGGCGGTTGGAGGGAGTGATGGCGTCGCCATCTCGGAGAGACGAGATGCACATCGGATCTGAGACCCCCCAAAATCATGGAAAGGATCGCGAAAACGGCTTAAGGTCTTCGTTTTTTGGGCCTTTTTCAAAGTCGGTCATGGAGATCCCAGGACGAGATCCAAGATCACCAAAGAGGTCAGTGGGGATCCTCCGCCCCCTTCGGGCAACACGCCTTCTGCTTGCCGCATTGAGTGAATCAACCATGAGTGGCGCCAGGCCATGTGCCTGGCTCTAGACTCACCTGGAAGCTACCCCTATACCTGCCTATATACTCGAAATCTGAAGCCGCCCGGAGTGAGGTACTTTGAGGGCAGCAAGATCTACCCCATTGCCGTGGTCGTCTCCGAGTATTCCTTCGTTGCCTCGCACTATTCAGCGGTGAAGAGCTTATCGCAGTGGCTGGAGGAGCGACCTGGCAGGATGTGTCAGAAGCTTCTCTTGCCAGGACCGGTACCTCCGAGACCGTTTTTGTCTCAGAAGTGGTTTAATTACAGGAAAATCATGGAACATCTACAGGAAACCTATATAGTCTAGTGGTGGGGGTGAAAACCATGGTTTCCTGCAGATTTTTCCTTAAAAGCATTCATTGACTATAGACCCTGAGTGAACTGCTTCAAACGAGAGTTCGTGTGTGGGTCCTAGGCTCAAGCCCTCCAAAGATTATGGAGCAATGCATTGCCATGGACCATGGATTCTACTGGATTGAGTCAAAAGTCCTTTGCAGGGATGACATTTTTATTCGCCGCTGATGGACAAGAACCTTCCCCGTCCCTGGACGGACCATTCGGCCAAAACCACGGCATCGACCCGCGAAAAGCATCACCATCGACTCGCGCCGCCGAGGCACAAAGTGCCTGGAATTTTCGGGGTGGACACGCGAGCCATCACCAAGCGACTGCGAATGGAAGGCTCCGGGGATCGGTGGCGACGTTCCCCTTGAAGCAAAATGGGTGGCGGTTGGATCGGCGGGGTCAACGACCACAGCTTTTGCCATGCCTGTTCATTCATTCCTTGACCAATGGGTGATGGTGTGTGTCCTGTTTTTTCAGCGCTACATACTTGGTGTCTGCGTGGGCTGCATGGCCATGGCTACATGTTTTGGCCGTCCCCCCCAAATCTGCCGATGCCGAAGAGCTCCCGAAATCACACGACCCCGCAACCGGTCGCGAACGGTGCCATTGTCCCGTGGTCGCCTACGTGCAGTATAGTAGCGATGCCCTTTGCTCCTAGTAGCTTCTTGTTCCTAGTAGTAAGGCCAGGAGTCGCGTCCTTGCTCCTAGTAGCGATGCCAGGAACCCCTAGTAGCTTCTTGTTCCTAGTAGCTGTGCAGTAGCTTCTGTGCCTTGTTGCCAGGCTCAGCACTGGGTGCGGTGGTCGTCGGATCTGAGCCTGCACCTGCGTGGGAGGATGGATCGCACGGTCGGACGTTTCGGTCGCGACCCACCTGGAGCTCGACCGGTCCACTTATGTAGCGAACAAGCTTCCAGCTAGGTCAACCAGTCGGTCTCCTGCTGCCATGACCTACAGCCTCATGGCACCAGTCGACTTTCCTTCGAACCCGGAAAAGACTGGCTCGTTCGACCCAGCATGTTTAGGTTGGACATGTTTTGGGGGATTCCCCGCGTTTGAGGCAAACCTTTTTGTCCGCTGTTGAGACCATTCATTTTCTTTCATCATAGCTGCACGACCCCCCTCCTGTTACCTGTGCCACAGGATCCGAACTTGCGCAACCTGGTGGCGGAAGTGTCATTGCTGGGGCACCCAGAATAGGTCTCCAAGAAGGGAAGGCCCAAATTGATTGTGACCGCGAACGCGCAGCCGCCGCAAGCAGCACGGATCAGATCCAACTTGGGCACCTGCCATCAAGTGCCCAACCCCCACAGCGCAGCCCAGTCAACATGCCCAACATGCCCAACCCCACCTTCCGTGCCACGACCTGCCGTGCGCCAGAGGCCCAGCCCCAAGCTGTATGCGCCACCCAAAGACCCGGACGACGATGGCCGGAGCCTCGCTGTGATCTTCCATGGTCCGACCTTTCCGGACACACGAATTGGCTCACTATAAGGGGCTTAGCTTCTGTCTGTATTTGAACCTAGGGGAACCGAAAGCCAGAAGAGGAACATCGTTCACATCCAAAGCGAATAGACATTCAACAGGTCTTTCTTTAGAGCTTTTGAGGCACACACACACACACACTTGAGATACTTGAGATATTGTGTACTGAACTGAATGCGGTGGTGCCACACGCCGGCCTAAGAGACCCAAATCCTGAAAAACCAGGTGAAGGGGACCAGAGTTCCTGTAGTTAAAGGCCACGACCGACGAGATGACAAGCTGACGGCGTTCCGTGCAAGTCTGCAGCAACAAGAAATTCAGGTCAGGGAGGTTCTTGGCTTAGCCTCTCGCCATTCGAAGAAATGGAAAGTTGCAGGTACGTCGGAGTGGCCAACTCCGATATCACCAGATCAAATGGGCGTCTTCGTTGGTAGCGGTCCCAAATGATCTGCCGCTACCCCCTGCGATAAACCAAATTAAAATCCAAAAGGATCCCTATGACTCCAAGGGTTACACACACACACACCCCTGTGTCTTGGTATGAGTCTATTCATGTCTATTCCCTGGTCATCCCTGCACTTCGCCGCCAGGGGAATATTCGAATCTTCTCGTTCTGCAGGTGAGCCTCCCTTGGTCCTGGCGGTGGACTGTGGCATGAAGATCTTCGTCCGACATTGACCCATCGTCGACGGTTGGAAGGGTCGAAGGTCGGCATACGGGAAGCTTCGTTTGAAGGACATCGGTGCCACTCCCTGACCTTTTTTCTTTTTCTCCGCATGTTTTTTTTACGATTTTCATCTATTTTCTTATTTTTTGACCCTCAGGTGGAAAGACTGTACATCAAAAGTGTGAGACTGTACATCAAACATGAGGGATGTCTAGCTTCAAGGAAGACTTTTCACTGCCGAAGGTCACTCCAGCACCAGCCGCACCAACACAAGCACCTTTTGCCATGAATGTACATGCTGGTGATGGGCCGGGTGAATTCCTTGCAACCCAAGGCTTGTTGTTGTTGCTGCTGCTGCTGTTGTTGTTGTTGTTGTTGTTGTTGTCGCCGTCCCCTTAGCAATCAACGCTTGTTGTGCATTCGCCCGGGCAAATGTCAAGAAACTCCTTCGACGGTTCATGCTCCAAAATTCTTGGTTCAGAGCCCGCAAGCTCGCGCAAGCTCGTGCAAGCTCGCATGCCTGTGTGTTTGCACTTGCACCTGCGTACAGGGAGAAGGATCGTTATTCCTCAAATTAAGATCACTTCAAAAGGAACAGTTACTCCAACTGGCATGTCAAGCTCCTTAGACGACCTCCGCTCCTTCAAGAGATTCATAAGAGTGCTGAGGTCATGAAAGCAAACCTGCCCCATCTCAATATGTCCGTGCAAATGTTGTTGCAGCTGTGCGGCCTGAGGTTTAACATTGTGCGGTACTTTGTCTACTACCTCCGAGTGCGGCTGAAGGTGGTCCCCTGGAACTACGACTTCACAAAAGAAGTGTCTTTGCAGAGTTAGATCTGCTGTGACTGTGAAGTAGATCTGCCCTAGAAGTCCAGTAATAGTCACTCCACTTTCGCGTGGTGAAAGTCAAGGACCTTCCCAGTTCACCTGGGGTCCCCCGAAACTGGGAAAAAGACCACCAGCACCTTCATGTCGGGGTCACCAAGCACTATATAAGCCCCTATAACAGTAAAGGGACCTCCAGCCAGGACACCCCTTGAAGGTCCAGGCATTCTTTTTTGTGGAAATTGACCTCTTCCGGGACGGTCCTTCCTCTTCCGGGACGGTCCTTCTCACCCTTCATCTCTCATAGGTCCTTAGGTCCCAACGGTGGTGGAGGTGGACCTCGGGATAGGTCCCCGTGTCGACCGAAAACCCATGTCTGCCGGTCGGTCGAACGCACCACAATGGTTGGCCTCCAGCGAAGCCAACGTCTGACGTGGGGGTGAGATGGAGGTGATTCAGGGTCCCAAGACGGAACTTGTTTCTAGTCTTTGAGGAGGTGCGAAGGCTTGGCCATGGACGATAGGAGTGAAACAGAGCCACGACGGTGACAGTGGAGCAAGCCACTGCTTGGTCGGATGGTCGGATGGATTTGCGGCTGGTTAGTCCTTTGCTTGATTGGACCTGGACAAGGGTGATGCTGTCCTCGTTCGCGGTTCCAAGCTCCATAATGTCCACGTTGGCCGAACATGGCAAGTCAACGTGGGGAATAGGGAGGATGCCACCCAAAAAGGACATCGCCGGCACGTCCAAAGGTGAGTCGATGTGTCTTTTTTTGACAACGATGTTTTGGGATTTGTCATGCCGAGGAGTTTGACGGTTTGTTTATCAGCAACGGTCCTGGAGATCCACAGAAGAGTCTTGGCACATTTGGAGGGAGTTTAAGAGCTGAGCCAGTTTTGGGTTAGATTGGTGTTATACATGTTCGTAAAGAACAGATATTCGCATGTGTGTGGGTATGGTCCGGAATTTGTGAACCCCTACAGAAGGATCAATTCTAATAGTGGAAAGACTAGGCGTGGAGAATGTAGATGTCATTCAGCAAGTCAGGGCCACCGACATGGCAAAAGCAGTTCTTTCAGCCATTACCAGGTGTGATGCAACAGTGAAATGCCTTCAGCAAGTGATGAAAGACCGGCCAACATTGCCCATCTTTGGTATTTGCCTTGGCCACCAGCTGCTCTCCCTGGCGGCCGGCTGCAAGACTTACAAAATGAAGTTCGGAAACCGTGGAGTGCTACTCGGCTCTGAACTTTGAACTTGGGCTTTGTATTTCTTTTCTGTGGGGTTGCGGTCTGCCAATTTTTCTATTCTTCCCCCGAACACGTCTTGTTCTCTGATATGGACACACTGCATGTCATCTCCACAACTCAGACAACGACTCGGAAGCACCTCAGGAACCAGCCCTGCATAGATCTCCGGACTGGCAGATGCTACATTACCTCGCAGAACCATGGCTTTGCCGTGGACGATTCTCAGCTTCCGGACGGCTGGCACTCCCTCTTCGTCAATGCCAATGATGGCTCGAACGAGGGAATTGCGCACAAGGACCGTTGCTTTTCCTGGAATCATTGAGATCACAGTGGTTCTGCTCTCCTTTTGCTTTTTAAAGCTGCTACCGAACTGCACGGGGCTTGCGAGGGCGCGTGCCATCACGCGTGCCATCAGTGATAAAGGCTGAGACGGAAGTGTCTTGTTATTTCCAGCTATATATAGTCCATGTAGTTCTCACCTTTGATCGGAGCGAAGACCTGTGCCAGGAGAAGCCATGGCTATCGGTTCAATTTCATCCCGAGGCTGGAAGCAGCTGGTCAGATGGTCATGGATGGTGAGAGTTTGTGGAATCTCAAGGAGTCACGAATGTTTTTGTTTCTTCTTGAACAGTATAGTAACCTTCCCCAGCCGATTTGAGAGAAGGAAAGGAATGAGCTCTCCCTGTCGGCCAGGCTTGCTGCGGCCCAGTAGACACGGCATTTTTGTTCGACGAATTTTTACGGATCTTGAGGCGGGTTGGCATTTGTTGGGTTGTAGAATGTGGGTGCGTTTGAAATAGGCCACCCCGAAAGCAGCCTAGTTGGGGAAACTCGATCTCAAAACCACATTGACCTGGCGCTCCCAACTTTGATGAGTCTATTGATGCAATTAAATGCACACTCATGTTGCTAGAATCCACCTGTTGCTGCCCTCTGAGCCCTCCCCCTGGCCCTTTCATCGTCTTCGACCACCACATATGGCAGTCCTATGATCTTCTATGCAGAACTCCTGTGTCGCAAGAGAGGCTGAGGTTGCCATCAGAGTCGTCTGTTTCAAACAGGAGTCTACATGGAAAAAACCTGACGACCATCGGCTACAAGCACCCGCAAGCGATTACAAAGGCAGGAACGGGTTGGGAGAGACGCCGAAACAATGCGCCAAAGGGAAGGTGCTTTTCGTGGAAGCTTTTTTGCGCGAGCCGAAGCGCGTGGATTCGGCGATTTGCAGGTTGTTTTTCTTTGAAAGGTGCCTTTGTTCTCCTTCCAATGAGTGTGCAAGTTATCGACAACCTGCGTAGTAAAGAGCAGTGGTTCTCCTTCACACCGACACCCCGAAATCACCCACGTCCATCACCCACGTCCATCACCCACGTCCATCACCCACGTCCATC